ATCTACGATCTGTTCCTCATAGTCCAAGACGAAGATGGCGTCTTCGTCTCCGGTCTCTGCCAGATGAGCCACCATCTGGTCCTCATCGTAGTCCTCTTCGGTCACGTTGACTTCCTCGAAGTCCTCGGTGTCAACAAAGTTGGCCGGATAGATCCGCTTCTTGACTTCATTGCCAGTCGTCAGAACCTTCGTGGAGAGGGTCCTCATGGCTTGTTCAATCCTCGCAGCATCCAAAGTGCCACCGCTAAGCGTGATGACCTTTCGCTTGTCCTCCGAGGTCAAGGCGCTCTGCCGGAGCAAGATGAAGGCCTTCAGCTCCTTAACTGTAAGAGCTTCACCCATCTCATGGAATGCTACAGCCAACCTGTTCACATAAGACATGGTCGTCTCATCGTTCTTTTGATGAATTCGATAGAGAGCCTTCTCGCACTTGTCGTAAGTCTGGAGCTCCGCGGCCTCGTCCCACGAAGCCAGTGCTTGAAGCAACTCGTCGACACCCTTATCGGGATCAGTGAGCTTGGCCGCATCCAATGTTTTCACCTGCGCCCATGCAGTGCCTTTACACAACATTGCCAATCGCGGTGCCAACATTCCCTTGTCCTTGATTGGACAAATCTGATGCAGAAACTTCACCTTATCTCGATACTCTCGAGGATCATCTGCAGAAGGGTCAAAACTCGGGAGCAAATTCCAGATGCCGCTGCTTCGGTCATCACTGCCTTGCCCGCCCGAAGATGAGCTTCCCGCTTCCTCGCCTGGCATTGAGGCTGATCTTTCAGCCGCGGCCGCCCGTCCCCCCTTTCGCCCTCCTAGGCGGGGGTCCGGGCTCCGCTACCAATCTGAATAGATTGGTCCAAGACGAGCGTCCACGCTCTTTTCCTTCTTCTCCTTCTTGTCTTGGTGCAGCCGCCTAGCTGCTCTTTGCAGCGCCCTCGCTGCTCCGTGGCTCGCTCAGGAAAACCCTAGTCCCAAGAACCCTCCCCCTCTCTGAGCCTCGGGGGTCGGCGCAGCAGTCAGCTCCAGAGACACCTGTTGGTTTCACAATATAGGGTTTAGGGTTTAGGATTTAGGGTTTAGGGTTTAGGGTCTAAACTCCTTAAAGGGGGGGTTTATAGGAGATTATATAAGGGAGTATCATAGGGTTATTGAGGGGGGATGCTACTCCTTAAAGGGTTATATAGGAGATTATATAAGGGAGTATCATGGGGGGTTACTAAGGGGGATACTAGGAGTTTAGGCTATAGCTCATGTTGATTTCTATCCCGATCGCTTTGCGCTTGCTGACATTCTCATCCTGATGATCATTCATGATTCTTATTCTGCCTATTCTGAAGGCAACCAATGTTGCTGCTTGGGGCTCACCAGAATAAAAGGTTCATTCGTTGAGGTCAGACTCCTATTTTGGCATCTCCACAACCCTTGTTACAGGGCGCCCCAAAAAGGGACACTGAAGTTTTGGGAAGCTTCCTATTCGGCCCACCCCACCGCCCTACACCCCTAAACTCCAAAGCCCTAAACCTAAACCCTAAACACTCCTGATGTGCTGCACGCCTTCCGGGCGCGGCGTGGTAAGAATGAAGAGGCTGTTGCTCCTACCCGACCATGTATGGTCTTTACTTGTGCTACGGGTTAAAATGGGTGTGCAAAAAACCCTAAACAGCACTAGTCCTTAAACCCTAGACCCCAAGACCCTGAACCGTGCAGACCTGGTCAGGTGCTCTTTGAGTTCGGCTGCCGTGGGCAAGGTCTGGGGCAGTTCGAGTACCCAGAGTGCGTGGCTACATTCCAGGATGGCCATGTGGCAGTCAGCGTGGGCCTTAGAGGGTTTTAGGGTTTAGGGATTTTGCCCCAATAGTGGAGAATGAAGTGGAAAAGAGAATGGAATATGAAGTGGAAACTGGGATTATAGTATATAGGGGTTTATGGTGAGTAGGGGTGCGAGGGCCTATGAGTGCTTAGCTGGTCTAGGAAGAATGGGGTTGACAACCTGTTAAATTGGTTCATGTTTGGATTGCAGGCTCCTAGTGCTTTGCAGTCTGGAGGAAAGGCAGGGAATGGATCTCCCCAATGTAGCAACATGATGCGTCCCTACAGATTCTGCAAGACTTTTGGTATCACAGAGCTGCATGGCAGCAAAACACAGGTACCTCTCACACCCCAGAACACTTTAATCCTAACCATCGGAACTTCGGATAGTTTTTTGGAAGCCCCTAAGCCTTAAACCCACCAATATATCCCTATAAAACAAGTATGGACCCATATCGTCAAGGGACCCTCAAAACAGCCCCTTCAATTCTGAAAGCCCCCAACATGCGTTGCGTGAGTGCATGCATGTGATTGTGCCAGGCGACAAGGACGGGGGGCTGCAGCAATGGAGATCTGCATGATACAAATACTTCATGGTAGCCCAAGATTCCTGGGTTCCCCTACTACTCCCCCTTTACCCCTCCCCCAGCCAAGATTCCCCCATGAATTAAAGCTTAATTATCCCTAAATAACTTGAACTTATCGGGGGGTATAGAGGGGCGGGGTAGTAGGGGAACCCATGAAATGTTGGAGAATCACCTGGAACAACAAGCTAAAAACGGAAACGGGACTTGACTGGGCTAGGTGGAGAAGCATAACGAGAATACCTCGTAGAATTCCTAGTAGCAATACTACCTCTAGTTCGATGGAATAGGTAGATTTGGTCCAGTCAAGAGATTGATGCAGACCTTAGCTTTGTAACTCGGTGTTTAATCCTAAACCCTAAACAATGTCAGCGCTACCGAAAACCCCCTCTCCCGACAGGACAACCACCGCATCCAGGTCTTTGACAGTCATGGTCGCTTTCAGCACCTCATACCCAGAGACTGGGCGCCCCTCTCAGCTGTAGCAGGCCGGAGCTACATGAGCTGTAGTCTAAACTCCTCAAAGGGGGGGTTATATAGGGGATTATATAGGGGACTATTATAGGGGTTCTTAAGGGGGATACTAGGAATTTAGACAATGGCTCCCATGGTTCAGGGTTTTGGGATTCAGGCTTAAAGCTTAAGGGTTCAGGGTTTCAGGCCTTGCTTTCATTATTGTAGTAGCCTGCAAAACCAGGATTACTCCTTCATAGAGATGATTGTATGCAATGACATCAGGAATATTATCTCCATGTAAAGAATTCTGGCCATAAAGAATCTGAGGAATCACGTGCTCCGAAACCTATTCTAGTTCTACATAACGCCCTCTATATAACGCCCTCTATACCGCCCTCTATAACCTCAGCTTTTATTTCAGTTTCCAGCACCTTTTACATTTGATTCTCCCCCACTCTAGCCTAAGTCCTGCACCCTGATTTATCAACCCCCTCCACGAGTCCCTTAACCTAGTACAGGGGCCTACATGATTATCAGCAGTATTTAGATGCCTGCTTGAGGTACCTCATAACATGCTTCTATTTACGAAGAATGGATAACTAGGATATTGATAGCCATGTAGGCCCTAATGTAGTAGGGTTGAGGGTTTAGGGTTGAGGGGGCATTTGTGGCCTTGCTGGTGCTGTCGTTGCAGGTCGCCCTGGAAGTCGCCCCGTGCGCGCTGGCGCGCTCAGTGGACCCATGGGCATGTGTGTGGACACGAAAGATCGCGCGGAAGCCAAGCTGTCTTGCTGATGGTTAGTAGGGATGGAGGAAGGAATCCATATACAAGTTCATACATGGAATTGCAAGTTGTATGGTATTGTCCTTTTCCATTCCGCCATACCATACTCACCACCGTGAGGTTGTTCCCAGGTCCCATACCCAAGCCGCTCTTGTTTGCCACTGCATCCTGCCATCTGAGCTGTAGTCGAAACTCCTTAAAAGGGGGTATGGGATGATATAGGGGAGCGTTATAGGGGTTATCTGGGGGGATGAAACTCCTTAAAAGGGGAGGGTATACTGGGGAATATTATACGGAGTTTTACAGGAGGATACTAGGAGTTTAGACCCTATAAACCCTAAACCCTGGAGTCAAGATAAAAGCTCATCTGTCTCCAAGGCCTGTTTGTGTGCGACTGCGGAAGCGACCGCGTGCAGATTTTCAGCCGGCAAGGGGACTTTCTGTCCCTCGGAAAAACAGACGTTCCTGGTGTTTAGGGTGAAGGGTTGGCTTTAGGGTTTCGGGTTTAGGGTTTAGGGTTTGGTGTGTGCAGTGAGTGCTATTGCTGTTGCCCCAGTACTTGGGGGCGGGACGCCCAGGAATGAACCACCTAGCATTTGGAGCTTTATTGGTATACTTCAGGACAGTTCTGGGACTATGCTTCCAGTGACAGAACTATGAAGCAGCTAGCAAAATCATTGCCAGTCTAAAGCACCTGGTCTGAGCAGCCTAAGGTGGAGTAGCTGCTCTGCAGCAAGCTCAGGCACGTTTTCTGCAATTACGAACTGCTTCTTCGTCAAGGGGCTTAGAATTTTCGGACACAAGCTTTGAGAGCTTGAAAATTTAGGGTTCAAGAGTCGCAATTCCTTGTTGAGATTTCGGCCGGCAGGCGTCTACTTCCGGTCTCCCACAGCCATGGCAGCAGACGACCAGGGGCTCGTGTACGTCGCCTCGGACCACTGTGTACAGATCTTCTGAGCTGGCCCTTTGCGAAGCCTTAAGGGGATTAGAAGCTACTTAAGCCCATGCACTTGAAGTTATGTCATGCTGTCCTCACTGCAACAGTTTAACGACCCTTAAACCCTAGATTAGCCCGAAATGCTCCCCTAGGTTACCAAAGCAGCCCCCTCCCCAAGCTCGCAGAGCAAGCCTGGGGAGGGCGCGCAGAATCAGAGGCGCACAAAGACAAAGCAGAGCCGTCCTGAAAAAGAGGTCAAATGGCCAGTTTCCCAAAATTAGGGGTACCATTTTGGGGGTCCCCATAATAAGGATTATAGTATATTGGGGTCTATATTGGGGTTCCCTTATTTTGGGAAACTACCGCATGTACTTGCACATGTTGGTAAACCATGGCCCAGTTCTGCCAGCAAGTGTTCCAACTTTCCCTCTGATCAAAGCAGGCGGCGGCAGTTTCCTTGTGGCACGCAGACTCCCAGGTGCTTCGTTGGCAGGGAAGTTTGTGGGAGGGTTTGGGACTAATTAAGGGCGACTCGTTTGGGTTCAGGGGGGGCGGTATTTATATGGATGACCTGGGAGTTTGCTCATTTGCTGTTAGGGTCATACGAGGCTAGGTCAAACAACTGTAATGATAGACATTGATGCGAACGTTTTATTTCTAGTTCGTTAAAAATATGGGAAAATCCCAATCTTCTGAGTACTGGGGTGGGACCCTATAAACCCTAAACCCAAATTCCTGAAAATCACCGCGGGAGAAAAGGTCTGACAACAAAAAACACAATTCTCAGCCTCTATATCCCTAGCACCCCCAAAAAGCGACCATCATGTTTTCACCTCCAGCACACAACAGTAATCCCCCCACAAACACTAGTCCTCAGCAGTACCCCAAAAGATGCAGAGAACCGAAAGCCAAACTCGAAACCCTGAACTAAACCCTACCCGCCGAAACCTAAAAGCCAAACCCTAAACCCCAAAGCCCCAAAATCTAAACCTACCTGAACCCCAAAAGTAGGTAAAATAATAGCCCAAAGGACCAAAATATAGCCCAAAAGGCCATTATTCTACATAATTTTGGGGTTTAGGTACTCCCAAAACCGGAGGGGAAGCATTGCCCCGAGGAGCGGCTCGTGTCGGCCTTCGTGGGGCCCACCTCCCGGATCGAGGGCTCCTATGCCTGGGAGCCCTTGCAGAGCCCC